GTTTGCAAGTGTGATATTTTGCAAAATATATGCTTTGTATTTTATGAAACTGAGGCACAGAGGATAATTAACTTTCTCTTTTGTAACATAACTAGTATGTTAAATTTCTCCTGTGTAATTGTACATCCGGTCATTTTCTGTGAGATTTCTTTCAGTTTGTATCATCAGGATGCATTCTAGAAACCATACTAGATATTTCAAACAGAGAACTGGTTCCATGACTAATGAAGGACTTGAGAAACCCAGTAGGAAACAGGGAGGCAACCTGGAATTTAGCAACATCAGGAAGCTGTTACACCTCAAGGGCTGGAGGGCCAACAAGTGTTACCAAAACCTAGAACCCAGAGCCATCTGGTGCTAAATTGCCCACTGTTCAGGCTGCACAAAAGATATTGAAACTATAGAGAGAGGGTCTGTCCAGTGGGAAATGGAGACACAAAGAACACATGGCCATACAGAAAGAGGGGTAGATCCACTAATTTCACCATTCCTCATGTTTTATCTTCTCACGCCAGGGCTTCTCACCTGCCAAATCCAGCTAGAAGCCAGCTAGCAAGAAATCCTGGGAAATTCTGATCCCTTAAGTGGTTTAGTCCATTTGCAGTACCAAGTAGAGTAGGAAATGGGCAGAGAATGGATCTAAGAGCAATTAAGCTCTGAACTATTAGCTCACAGAGCTAAATTTTTTTGTTAATCTCTTAGTCAATATATACAAAGAGATAAAAAAAAACCAATATTTAGATGACATTTTGTCCATAAATATATTAGTATACTGTTTTATAATTTTCTAAGCAATTTGATTTTGATTTTTACCTCACGACAAACCTAAGACATAAGCAGAATAAGTAGCCCCATCTTGTTTTGCAGATAACAAAACTAGAAGTTAAAAGGCTATTGAGCCCTAGCTGGTTTGGCTAAGTGGATAAAGCATTAGCCTCTGCACTGAAGGATCTCAGGTTTGATTCTAGTCAAAGGCATATGCCTGGGTTGTGGGCTCGATCCCTGGTAGGGGGCATGCAGGAGGCAGTCGATTGATATAGAAACATCAATATGAGAGAGAAACGATTTATGTTTCTCTCTCATATTGATGTTTCTATATCTCTGCCTCTCTCCCTCTCTGAAATCAATAAAAATATATTTTAAAAATAAATAAATTATACATAAAAACTCTCTTTTTGCTTTCATGGCAAAAGTTAGTGGTATTGGTTTTAGCTGTTCAGTATTCATTTGGTTATCTGGGTCTTTTTACTACATATAATAAATGTAATTTTGTTTGATGCTAGAATAAGATTTTCCAGTTAACTGAGAAATGCAGGATTTTATATAGATTATATATTTTCAAGGAACAGGAGTCCACCCAAAGATACTGAAACTATGCTAAAAGCATTAGTATTTAATTTTTATTACTATATAAATATCACCTATATATCTAAAAGCCTAAACAACAAAACAACTGGTCGACCAGTCACTGTGATGCACACTGACAACCAGTAGGCAGATGCTTAATGCAGGAGCTGCCCCCTGGTGGTCAGTGCCCTCCCATAGCGGGAGCACTGCTCAACTGATTAATGGGCACCAGTCACTGGGTTCATGGCTGGCAAGCACAGCTGTGGCTGAGCAAGCCTCTCCCGCTTCCATAGCAGCACTACTAAGCAGCAGTTATTGATCAGCAGCAGTGGCAGGTGTGGGATTAGCGGGATCGGCGAGGTGCCTGGCTCAGGCTCCAGCTCCTCCCCAGACACTTGCCACTTCACGCACTACTACATCCCTTGGGGGATGTCGGACTGCCTGTTTCAGTCTGATCTCCCTCCTCCCTACCCATACACTGGGCCTCTACCCTATTTCCCTGAAAATAAGACAGTGTCTTACATTAATTTTTGCTCCCAAAGATGCGCTAGGTCTTATTTTCAGGGGATGTCTTATTTTTCCATGAAGAAGAATTCGGTACACATTTATTGTTAAATGAAAATAAAGGAAATTTATTACCTGTATATGGTACGGTAGTTGCCAACACAAACCAGACAAACTGTGAATCCTACAGTATCAAGAATTTACTCATTTATTCAATGACAATCATGTCATCATCTTCTGGAACATCATCATGACAATCCAATTCCTGAATTTCCTGGTGAATTTCTTGTGACTTCATTTCTTTCAGAATCAGTGGACCAAATCTCTCATTTTTAGCCTAGGGGGGGGCCTTATTTTCGGAGGGATGCCTTATATTTCACTCAGAAGGAAACCTGAAAGTAGGTCTTATTTTCGGAGGATGTCTTATTTTCGGGGAAACACGGTAATAGTAACATAAAAGAACAATTATTAAAAGAAACTAGAGGCCCGGTGCATGAAAATTCATGCACTGGAGGAGGGTCCCTCAACCCAAGCTGCCCCCTCTCACAGTCCAGGAGCCTTTAGGGGCAGAAGGCAACCTTGTGATCAGGGGAAGGCAACACCCTATCACACCTCTGCTGCTGCCACTGCCAGCAGCACAAGCCTTGACTGGCCTGGTTACCTGAGCCTCAGGTGGCCCTGGGTGGCTGGGCAGCTGCCATCCAAGGCTTGCCTGAGCCTTGGGCTGTCCTTGGGAGGCTGGTGGGCTGAGGAGACTGAGGGACTCTGGAGGCAGGCCTACCACCCTAGTGGGGCTGAGGGGACTGGGAGCCACCATCTTGTGTCTCTTGGCCCTGCAATCTGTAAGGGTCAATTAGCATATTCTTTCTTTATTATATAGGATGATAACTTTTCAGAATCATTACTTTTCAATTTCCTCTGTTGTCCTTCTTGCTCATGAGTATGCATTCTTACAGATTTAAGAAATACAGTTTAGATAGATGTTATATTCTGTCTTTTACTTATGGTTTCTGTACACATTTACTGCAGAGGAAACCTCTGGGTTGATGCATCATTATTATTTTAGTTAATAAAGATTTTTATTCCTACAATGTATTTATCTTTCTTCTTTTAATATTTGATTAGGGGCAAAACACAAAAAGTGAGATTACTGGGTAAATGAAAGGAAGGGTTTGTATGTCACTTGATATCTATTGCCAATTGCTCTAATACATACTCTTCCCAGCAGTAGTTCATGAATGTACTTATTTTCCTAGTCTTTCTAGCTTTGGATTTTATTTTATATTCATTTAATTGGTGTAAAATTGTGCCATCTTGACTCAGTATTCTGTTGGTTTTTTAAAGTTAATTATTTTTAGCGTTTAAAGTGAAAAGTAGTTTATTAGTAGATTTGGGCAGAGAGAAGATTACTGCATAGGCAAAGCAGCCCTCCCTCGTGGAGTTTACTTCTTTTATGGGGCTCATTTAATGAAAGTGTGGGGCATTCAATACGGGAGATGAATATTTGTGTTTTTTTTTTCTGGGAAAGGGAAGAAGACTTCTCTGAAGAGCCCAGGCAGATGTTGTGTCTTTATATAGGCTTTCTGTTTCATCATGGCAGCACTGGGGTGTGTTGTTTAGTATGCTAACATATTCCAATGAGAATAAAATGGTGGTAGAGGTTACAGCAAGGTGAATTTAGTTGCCATGTTGGATCCAGCTGGTCTTCTGCTGGTTCTAAGTCATAAATATGTTGGGGTTTGGTCATTTTCTTTTCTTATAAAAACTCTTTCTCTCTCCTTTGAATGACTTGTTCCTATACCTTTCTCCATTTATCAATGGCTTAATCCAGCATATTGAGTTTGATAAAACTGTTATAGCAATTTAATATTAGCTTAATGCTTAAAAGTCTTCTCCATGCACTTGTCCCAATGCTTAATAGAAATTTGAGTTTAATATACTTCCAGCTAAGTGTTTGTTGGTCTGTTTCTTTATTTAATATATGATATTTTAAGTGATGAAATACATCATTTAGTTTGATAATACTAAATTGCCAAAGGATACATAGGTCATTTGGTTTTAAAAGATTCTTATATTTGAAATTTTATTCTAATTTTAAAGTAGAATATTTTTAAAGTAATATGAGTAAACTGATCCTTCAAAAAGTTCATAACTGGAATAATAGCATTGTTCCTTTGATTTTCAATATTTTCAATATGCAGCTTTAGTTGAATACCAGTAGATGGCACTAATTACAAAAACAATCCAACAAGTTAATGAAGAGTTGAATTCTGTTCAGAGTTGGTATGTCACACATTCAACAATGATATGGGAGCTTATTTTTATAGTCTTTTTATCTCCTGATAAAAACAATTAAGATAAGTTTATTTCCAATTAATTGCTACTAAATTGAAATACCTGTTACTGGTTCTTACTCAACATGCTGCATTTGAAAAGTTTCGTCAAGAAAAATGGGTTAGACTAAAAATGGGATAGACTAAACCACATTCTAGGTAAAAAGCAGCATATAGACATGTTCTAACTTGAGGACTCAGAAACTACTTAAGAAACATTTTAAGATTTAATCTTTATACATATTTTTACTAATTTTTTTTCATTTTGTAATTACACTTTTGGGGATCATATTGGTTAGTAAAATTATAAAGGTTTCAAGTGTACAATTTCATATATTCTATGGAATACTACGCAGCCATAAGAAAAGATGAAATATTGCCATTCACGACAACATGTATGGATCTTGAGAATATCATGCTAAATGAAATAATCAGACAGAAAAAGTCAAGAATCATATTATTTCACTCATATCTGGAATAGAAAAGTAAAAATAATAAATGAACTAACAAGAAAAACAAGTAAAAACGTATAGCCACAGACAACGGTATAGTGGTTACAGGAGGGAAGCCAGTAACGGGGGTTAGTAAAGGGTGAAAGGTGTCAAATATATGGTGATGGAAGATTTGACTTTGGGTAGTGGGCACACAATGCCATATACAGATGATATATCACAAGTTATTTTCATTTTATAACAAGCTTATGTTATAACCTGAAAAACATTTAATAAGTGATTTTTAGGAAGACAAAAAAAGAAACTCCAATTAGAATATTCAGAGAAAGCTGACATCCATTCTCTTTCCTATATGCATCTATAGCAGCTGGCCAAAGACCTCCGCCAGTGGAAGATAAATGTAGATGTGGCAAATGACTTGGCACTGAAACTTCTCCGGGATTATTCTGAAGATGATACCAGAAAAGTACACATAATTACAGAGAACATCAATGCCTCTTGGGCAAGCATTCAGAAAAGGTATGAATTACATTATTTCTAAAACTATTGTTGGCTATAATGATGGTGTGGTGATACTGGGTGGACAATGCAGATTTGTTTTTCCAATCTTGCTAAATCAGGCTTGGGAGAATCCAAGATGATAATCCAATGAAATTTAGTTCTCTTATTTTAAAGATGAGGAAACTGGTGAAATTATATTATTTTTCTAAGAGATTACACACAACCAAAATAGTGATTTATAGCTAAAAGAACCATTTATAAGTCTGCTTTGAGACTCTACCCAAAGAAATACAATTCTATTCCATCGTTCTGCCCCAACCTTAATTTGACAAGGAAGTCTCATTGGAATTATAACTATTCATAGTGCCATTATTGTATCTCACTCCACACAGACAATGGGAAAATCTATGTAGTGTGTAACGTGGCTCATAACTTTATTTCTCATTATATATATTTGTAAATTAACAGCTCTTAGAGCATCATCCTCTCAAACTAGGTCCTGTCTCTTTAGCTATTCTCTTAACGCCTTGTGTTTTTCTTTCATTAACATTTATCCTGATTAAAAATAAAAATAAATATTATATAACTAATTTTAATATTTGTTCTTCACATTAGTGTAAACTTCCTGAGGATATAGGCTATCTTCTTTATTTGACAAATCCTGAACCAGTTAATATAATAGGACAGTGGTCAGCAAACAGAGGATCGCAAGGCACATGTGGCTCATGAGCCGTGGTTTGCTGCTCTGTTGACTATTAGTTTGCCGACCATTGTAATAGGGTACCGGTAAGTATTTGAATGATAACTCTCCTTGCATAATGAAGCATTACCTTGTTCATGCTATGATAGCTTGAGAATGATTGGGTACTCGTTTTTACTTCTGTCAGAAAACAGAGGCAAAAATAGTACCTATACAATGATGAGCAAGACCACAGTGAAAGATAACTGAGTTCCAGATGATGACATGAATTACTGAAGAAGTCAGTTTGGTGGCATTTCATAAGGAGAAAAGGCCACCATCAAGAAAATTAAAAAGAAAAACACAGATTTTGAACTAAGAGCAGAAAGTTAGGAGTAATGACCTATTGATATATGGAAATTAAGAGACCAAATAAACCTTGAAATTGAGTTAGAGATTGAAAAGTGAAATTCTACTGTGAGAATTGATTAAAACTGGTGACTCTGGGCAAATAAAGCAGCTCTAGTCCTGAATTCCAGATGGTGTTCAGATGACCAGGGAAAATAAGATTCAACCTGACGTGAAGAGAGAACCTCCTCTCAACGGCAAGGTTTAGACTTGCTGATCCCAATATAGACCAGGTACCTGTTTGTTCAATTAAACAAGGGCGTAGTATGCGCAGAAAGACTTATTAATATGCAATTGATTAGTATCCCAGTCAATAGATTTCAATGGGAAATTCCTGCTTTTCAAAGAGAAGCATCTTTAGAAAAGAAAATTAAGATAAAAATTAATTTGGTGGGTTTAGGGAATGTAAACTAAGAAGGGACAAAAAGTAAAGCTTGTCCATAGCACAAAACCAAGGCTTCAGGGGAGGTCTATCACTTTGACCCACTCTTTCTGGCAGACCGCTCTCTCCACATCCTCATGCTGTTTGAATCTCCAAGTACCTCTCTCAGTTCTTTTGATCACTTTATTAAGATCTTTGGATTCCTCAGAGGAAGAGCTTCCAGTTTATATATTTGTTTGACTTGGTCCCTAAAAAGCTACCACTTAAGTATATGATTATTTCTCTAACGGGTAAAGTAAAATAGAATGTTAGAAGCCAAATTACATTTTTAGCTGGTCCATACAGAATCTGCAATTTGCCATGTTAATTTTGGCTCATGCCTCTAAAGGCATATCTTATTCCTTTCTCTCATATACTCTGAAAATTCATCCACTTGTGTGGTTTCAGTCTGCTTATGACTACCCATTTATACCATTTGCAGCTGAAATCATCTTTTGAGTTTTAGGTCTGCATATCCTACTGGTTTCTTCCAGTTGAATGTCCCTCAGAAATGTCAAACCAAATAGACACAACGCTGAGCTCACCTTTAACCTCTTACAATCTTTGTCTCCAAATGTCACCTACTTCTCTTCCAATGACCCCTTCCTGGTGAACATTACCACAAACTATTCAGTTACCAAAGCAGAAGTTCATACTTAACTCTTTCTTCATAACCCCAATAGCTAAGTTATTACAAAGCTATTTGCTCAAAATAGCTTTCAAATTCAGTCCCTTCTCTTCAAAGCTATCCGTTGACTGTCATGTCTTACCTGAATGACTTCATTCACCTGATTTCCCTCCTTCTGGACTTCCTACCTCCCATCCATTCTCTACATCAAGCATGTCAAACTCGCAGCCCATGAGCCACATGTGGCCCACAACAATATTTTTTGTGGCCCAGTCAATATAACAGTATGCAAGAAAAGTTTTAATAAAAATTCCATAACTTAATTTTTACAATATCCTGTTATACATAATTATTAATAACTAACTGCGATGTTCACTAATGACTGATTACTATAATCATGTTGCATTCATTTCCCTTAAGCACCCTACATGCAGGTGCACCATTTCTCTCCACTAATACTAGCAGCAAATACTTTAGCAGCCAATTGCCATGTCATTAGTCTTTTACTGACTTGTTTGGTGTGCTCAACTGAAAATATTTCACTTTCAGAGAGCAAGAAAAAAACTTTATTTGCATTATGTTTATTTGTGCAGTTATTCAGTGTCTGATAAGTTAATGTTCAATAAAAATATTAATTTTTATTAAAATGTTCTATTATTTTATGTTAATAATTACTCATTTATTTAAGCCCTTTGTATTCAGCATGACTCTATTGAAATGGACCTGTGTTTCTATGAAAATTGAAACTTCTGGGGGCGTTTTTTTGTGCCCACATAAACTTAAACCTTATTTACTTGGCCCATGTTAGCCTTTGAGTTTGACATGCTTGCTCTATATAGAATGCAGGATTATCTAACTATAGTATATTCATGTTACTCATCATCCTCCTGCTTTTAAAGCCTCAAATGGTTTATTCATTATTAATTGAAGACAACACACACTCATTTAAATAACTTCAATGTCTGCACGATTTGGCCCTAATTTTCTGCTCTCCCTCTATTTCTCATCCCCCATCCTGATACAGTTAAGTAACATAGAGCTATTTTTATTTCCTCATATCCATGTTTTGTCTTCTCAATTACCTAATAACCAGACCTCAGTATAAATGCCAATTCCTCCAGGAAACCTTCCCTGATTACCATGCTTTAGGGTTGGCTATTTAAAGGTGGCTATTGAATGTAAATTCATTATAATAATACTTAAAATGCCCTTTTGGCCCCTTATTATAGTGCTTATCTCACTATACTGGAGTTAAGATTTGCTGGTCTCGGTCTCCTATGAGAATGTTGGCTCTGTGAGAATATGCACAGTGGCTGCTTGTACATCATATTTGCCTAGCACTTAGCTTGGCATATAGTAAATATCCCCTAAGCATTTTTATTAAACAGGTAAATGAGAAGAAAAAAAAACACTGCAATGTTTTGGTGAACCAGTAACTTAACACAGAAGAAAACTATATACATTAGGATGGCCTCCAGTTCTCAACTAACAGAAAACACAAGTTCAATAGTTTGCCTAATAGAGGTCTGTTTGTCTCAATGAGATGTTCAGAGATAGGCAGATGCTGATGCTCATTTGCTCAGCGATGTCATTCCTACAGTCTCCATGTTTTTCTTGGCATTTTCCTCAGTACATGTGCATTCCAGCGGGAAGAAGAAGGGGAAGAGGCAGTGCTTATATCAGGAAAGTGATGGCTTTCCCAGGAACTTAAGGGTCAAAATTATGTCACAAAGCCATCTCTGGTTCCCAAGAATTCAGGTAGAGCCAATAGAGAATGTCTGCCAAAGGTCATGGAAAGAATAAACTGACAAACTGGCATGCTGTAACTGGACAACATGAAGTTACCTTGAAAGAACCACTCGAAGCGTTAAGTAAATGCAGTATATTCATGCAATTTGTATATTCATGTACAGTATATTTGTACAGTATATTCACATAGGATTGTAATAGTAATGTGCCAGCCGAAACTGGTTTGGCTCAGTGGATAGAGCGTCGGCCTGCGGACTGAAAGGTCCCAGGTTCGATTCCGGTCAAGGGCATCTACTTTGGTTGCAGGCACAGCCCCGGTGGGGGGGGGGGTGCAAGAGGCAGCTGATGGATGATTCTCTCTCATCGATGTTTCTAACTCTCTATCCCTCTCTCTTCCTCTCTGTAAAAAAAATCAATAAAATATATTTTGAAAAAATAGTAATGTGCCATTGGGGCTTAATGGCTGTCCTGAAAGGTCATGAGAGTGTATTCTCTGTTGATACCTTTGCATTAGAAGTTCACATTTTATTTATGCTGTGTTTGTCAACTGCACACATTAAACTTGACTACAGCTTCTCTTATTTTACATTCTTACAGATCTCATACTAGTTAGATAAAGAATAAGAAAACTCTTTATGTGATGTTTTGCATTTTGACCTTTTTAATCCAATATCATGCCCAGTTAAACCCAGAAATGAAGTAACATCCTCTTCCTCTAGATTTGTGCTATACAGTATGGTAGCTGTTGGCACAGGTGGCTATTTAAATGTAAATTCATGATAATAAAACTTAAAATTTATTTTATTCACCTCATCAGACAACTAGCAAGTGCTCAGGAATTATATGTTGGACTGTGTAAAGTAGGTTTCCATCATCACAGAAAATTGTGGACAGTCTTGCTCTGGATCACCTTTGTCCACATTCACTTATGCCATTTATAGGGCACATTTATAACAATTAAATGCTATATTCATTCAAGAGGAATTTTTGACAAATTTTATAAATAAAAACTGTTTCCTAACAAAGCTGTTCACATTATTCTTTTTCCTTGTTTCTACCTTATTTCTTTTATTTATCCATTTTCTAGAGTTGGTGTTTAAAGTCTTAAAAACTACAACTATTACAGGATATAA